CATGCAATGTGTGGCACATAAAAAGGCATTTGCGGCTGCAGCCGAGTGCTGTTAACCAACTGCCAGGCAGTTGGTCAAAACCAAATGTGCACAAATGGCGAGATTTACCAATTTTAGTATTTTGGCACAGACTATAGGCGACGCACCCACCTCCACCCCTCTTCCACCCATCAGCCTCCTTCGAGCCACACTAGACCTTCATTTGTTAAAGGCCGAGAACAACTTTTAATTTCCAACGTTCATAGTTGTTGCTTTGTGCCAAATAGTAACAACAACAACAACAACGTTCATTAAGTTAATTCAAACAATTTAAGATTTTACAATTGGAGTCTTGCAACTGCCCAATACTCCTTTGCCAGTGTGAACAGGCGTACAAGGGCGTGGCATAAACATTTTTATATTAAGAGAGTTGGTTCGAACCGTGAACCGAACCAGCGACTATTCTTGCGGGGAATTTTAATATCCAATAAAGATATAGATATAGATATAGATATAGATATAGATATAGATATAGATATAGATATAGATATAGATATAGATATAGGTATAGATATAGATATAGATATAGATATAGATATAGATATAGATATAGATATAGATATAGATATAGATATAGGTATAGATATAGATATAGATATAGATATAGATATAGATATAGATATAGATATAGATATAGATATAGATATAGATATAGATATAGATATAGATATAGATATAGATATAGATATAGATATAGATATAGATATAGATATAGATATAGATATAGATATAGATATAGATATAGATATAGATATAGATATAGATATAGATATAGATATAGATATAGATATAGATATAGATATAGATATAGATATAGATATAGATATAGATATAGATATATTTAGGGTTTTCTTTATACAGGGTGTTACGCAGTCGACAATTGCACAAAACTTGAATACCCTGTTGTTGGGTAGAGTTCTGTTGCCGAGTTGCTTGAGCTTCAGCATATTTTGAGCTGCTGCTGCGAAAAAACTTCATTTAAAAGCAATTTGAAAAGTGTGGACAGGGGGACAGTGGGGGCCCCCTTATGGCAAATGCAACGTTGTTGCTGTGCTTGTGCAGGTCGTTTGGCATGTAAAACTGCCCTAGAACTAACCACCCCTCCCACCAGCCCCTCCCCAACGTACGGTTCCCTCAATGCCGCTTGGCCACAAAATGTTTTTAAATTCACATAAATTAAAGGCACGGAAAAACTATTAAAGCGTTTGTCGTGCCCGCTGTGTGTGTGAATATGTGCATGTGTGTGTGTGTATTTATATGTGTGTGTTAATGAAGAAAAATAGATGAGTGCTGTTTGAGGTGTGCGAGGCGGCGCTCGCATCCGCAGACTGTAAAATAGCAGCCGAAATGTGCTTAACATTTTATGTCTCCTCTTCTATTCGGGTGTACAACTGTGTGTGCGTGTGTGTGCGTGTGTGTGGTTGTTTGTGCTACTGTTAGCAGCTGCCCCCCTCCCCCTCACCAGGCTCCACCTAGTCAAACACTTCAGCATTGCTTCTAAGCAGCAGGGTTCCAACAGCAACAAATTCATTTGGGGGCCAGCATTTGATGGCCCTTTTCATGCCCTTCCCAATATGGTATTCTGATTTCGTTGCTTCATGTGCAACCCATCAAAATATACACATTCGAGCTCGTATTACGACAGATTACTGCAGATAGTCGTGTTAGTCGGTCTATAGCCAAGTAAACTAGTCAGATTCACAGCTGATATAAATCTGAATAGCAACAAGAATTGTCCGATTGTCAGTGTTGGATAACGCTCTGGCTTATCAAAAAAAATTTGTTTAATTTCGAATTTGGTAGGCAAGTCTTGGCAAAACCCTTTAGTTGATTCAAAATTTCCCAAAAAAAAATCTGTTTCATATCGCAGTAGCAGAAAACATGATTAAAAAATATTTTGCTGCTAAAATTTTGGCCTAAAACTGCAAGTGAACGAGTCCAAAATAATTTGTATGTTCTTCTAGCTGCCTTTACCTCATATGCTCGTAATACGACATCGTTTATTGCTCAACAAACAAAAGAGCATTTAATAGTCGGCACTCGCAGCTATTTATTTTATTTTCTGGCTGCTGTTGGTCATAGTTAGGTGTTATTGTTGTTGTTGCCGTTGTTTGTAAATAAGTTGCAGCGATTTGTCGCCTGTCCGACCTGCTCGACCCCAACAGGCTCACACGCGCACATACACACGCACACACACATGTACAAGGGCGTTAATTACTTCCAATTGGAATTTTGGTTAGTTTATAATTTGCCATGCCCATTTTTAATGGCCGACAAATTGATGGCCTCTTTTAACAAAGGCACTTTATGCCAGAAGGAGGTGGGGAGGGATGGGTAGGGGGAACTAAGGCGTTGCCATGGGCAGTGGAAGGGGCTGCGGTGCAGCACTGTGTGGCAGCTGCAGCTTTGCGGGGATTTGCAATGCGCTCCCCGCAATTTGAAGCCATTTGAATTACGTGTGGTCAGCTGGGTCAGTAAGCCAGCCAGGCAGAGGGGGGACGGGGTGGGCTGCCTCCTGGGCAGTCAGAGTGCCAGCTAGATTGCCGTAGCTAAAAGGCAGTTAAAAACTGCGGCACGTAGCCAATGGCAATGGGCGCGCGAAAGCGTTGCGATGACTGCGAATGAAAAGCCAGGCAAATAAAGGCGGCCAGAAAAAGGGCCAAAGCGCTTGGACCAGGGCAAGGTAAGAGGCGGGCTGAGCGGCATGGCCAGTTAGCACAGGGAGAGAGCGAGTGTGTGTGTATGTGTGTGTAGAGAGAAGGGGTGGGGAACGGTGGGAGGCAGACAAGCAATGCACAGATTCGATTACACTGAGAGCATGTAGAAAAGCGAGTGCTTTCGAGCAGGTATGATAAGGGGCACGGTTGGGCAGGCAGTGGGGCGAGAGGCGGTAGGTGTTGGAGCATAGACCGCAAAATCATGCGGCTGCGTTAGTTTGAATGCAACAACAACAACAACTACAACAACAACTACAACAACAACATAAAGCAACAGTCAGCAGTAGCAGTCAGCAGCAGCAGCAGCAGCAGCAGCAGTAGCAGCAGAGTTAGCTTCCAAAGCATTTTCTGATTCCGTTTCCGTTTTATTTTCACATTTTGTTTAATTCATTTTTTCTCTCTCTCTCTCTGTGCTTTGGGGTTTTTACGCTTTGCTTTGACTTGGCATGTACCAAAGGTGGGTTGCGTTGGGGAGGGCCTGATGGAGGAAGCGTTGGTCGTGTTGCGGCTCAGCAGGAGGCTGCGGATTTGGGGCGTTGGGGTGTTCGGTTGCCGTTGCACTTCATTGAGCCGTGCAAGTGTTAAAAGTGTTGCAAATTGCGTGGTTTTCATGCCACTGCCACTGCATCAAATGACGCTGGCAAAAGGCAACGTGGGAACCTCCTCAGTTTGAGCCGCAGAGAGATCAGCCATGAGAAATATATACATTTATATATATAAGCATATTTATTGTGCAAATGTCAGCTGGGCTTGCGAGATTGCAGCATTTCATGGTCAAAGAACCGACTAATTGAACGTTGAGCTGTCATTTTAAGATTTTTAAAGCACAAGGATCTAGCTTTTAAGAGGCGAGTTTGAACTCTGCGTCGGACTGGGCGAATAATCTTCGAATTATGCTGAATGAAAAACATGGCTTTACATATGACGAAATTGTGAATATGGGCGGAGTTATAGAAGAAAGTGACAAGCTCGTTCTGTGTTGGAGATACGAGCATTTCAATTTGGAAGGACGTAGAGCGGACGGGCATAAGGAAGGGTAGACATATGGACGATCATAGTTAGATCCTGATCAGGAACATATTTACTTTATGCGATCATATAAGACTCCTTTGCACTGTTATAGATATTTACAAAACCAAAAGCAATACCTTATCCTTTGCGACTGCCCTCCGGTCAATTTGTCAGTTAAAATTAGATCCTTTCTTCGCAAATATTTGAGTACATAAATTCGTTTACACACCTTCATTTCATTACCTGTTCCGCGCTTTCACCAGCTAATATCACAGGTCGTGGAATATTCTCAATCCTGGCCCTCGCTGCTGGCCAACTCTAACTTAACTATCTCGCATTCAGCTGCAACATTATCTGACTTGTTTTGCTGCAGCTACATAAATATGCGAATAAATTACTTTGTGCTTAACCCAGTGCCCGATAAATTTCCAGTGTTGGCAACTGCAGCAGAATAACGTTTTACATTGCTTAAAAGGCAACAAAAGAATTTCCCAGGTAAAGAAAATTATATGAATTATCGAGGAACTCTCTAATGCCAAAAAGTAAAAAGTGGACGTCGTGTGCTTACTCCTAAGGGTTTATTTTCTTTAACAATACTGACGGCCGTTTATCTGCAATTCTTTTACAGCACTTAAGAAAATATACTAGTTGCAAGTAATATATCTATTATACATATCTGAAATATCGGGGATGGAAAGGGTTCTGCTTATTTATAACGAATTAATAACCCATCAAGCATTTTATAATAGTTTCTCTTTATTACATTCTTAAATTTACTTAAATTACTGAAGCTTTGAATTATATTTTAATTATGGCACAGTTTACCAACACTACTTGACTGTATTAAGCTCTTGCGCACTAATTAAAATTCCCATTGTAGTTTGGCTTTGGCATATCTTTGCTTTTGACTCGAATTCCTTGCATTCCTGACCAGAACAACAAATCACATTCATAATCTTAACCCCCCAACCTGCCATTATCCCACCGCTTGAACATTCCAAAAACATAATACAAAATTAAGTACAGTCTGCGCTGGAGTTGGGAGTCGACTGAAGTTGAATGAAGTCGAGTCCTGGCACAAAGGACACTCATTATGCATTCCCATCAGCTCTCCCTCTCCCACTCCCACTCCCTTTCTCTCTCTCTCTCTCTCACTCGCTCGTATCGCTTTCTCTCTAGTTTTTTACGCTATGCTATTTTTTAAATAAGCAACTGTTTTTTGCATACTTTCAGGCGCGCCGCCAACAACAAACTGCAACAAAATGTAACCGCAGCAGATCCGCCAACATTTTTGCTCCCCTCCCCACCAACAGGCATGCCACGCCCCCTCGACGATGCCACATTGTTGTGGTTGGCATATAAAGTGTTGCATTTTGTTTTGTGTTCCAAGCGATTCGCTCGCAATTCGATGCTCCATCTGCGACGCCACACACCCGCAGCCCGCTGCCTGCCCCCCGCCCGCTGCCAGGCCCAGACATATGAGCCGCAATGATTCTTGTTGCATATGTGCAACAACTTAACTGCCAGCTGATAGCTGTAGCTGTAGCTGTTACTGAGCAATGGCCGCCGTTAACTCGCGCAATTTGTTGCAAGTCAGCCAAAGAAAAAACCCAGCCAAACCAAAGCAAGCCTAGAACTATCCGATTCGAACCGAGCTGAGCGTTGTCCTGGCTATTGTCCTGGCTTTTGTGGGCATGCTAAATGCGCACAGCTGTCGGGATTAGCCCGGGTACGGCACGAGATTGCAATGTAAACGCCGCGAATTAGTTCGAGCCGAAAACCGCCTCAACCACCCCCGAAATCGCACGAACACACACACGCACACACACATAAATGTAATAAAGAAATAAAATTGTGAATGGGGGCGCGACAAACAATACCCTTGGCCTGTGCTCGGCCACCATTTCCCATTTCGCGTTTCGCATTTCCATTTCGATTGCAGCCGCTGCCCAAAAACTCGGAAAACTCTGAAAATTAAACAGATGGCGCGCATTAGATGCGCTTCACTCGGATCCCCGGAGACCAAAAGAACACCCGCGACCAAAAACACCAAATCCAACAAAACATACACAAATATAACCCACAAACTTCCACAAAGCAGTGGACCACAATTGATTCAACTCAAGCTAAATACAGGTGAGTTTCTTGCTATAGTTCAAATATTATCAGGTTATTGATAAATTGTATTTGCTTACAGGTGAGTACAATGGCTTGTATTGAATTATATTTGCTTATTTTCTAATAATAACAATCTGGCTGGCTCAAGATCTGGCCAAGCCAAGACCTAAGGTAAGCAGCCTTTCATATAGCTCGCAGCTTAAACCAATTCCGAATTTTAACGAAAAACGGCATATTATATCTTGTATACTCTTATGACAGTTTATCGTTTATTTTTATTTGGGGCATTATTTCCAGCAGTATAATATGCCAATTTAAAAATATATGCATATTATTGCATCTTTTTAAAGAGTTTGCCTCACTGTGCAAGTGCTTAAGGCAACTGAATCAGAGACACGTCTTGTTTTTTCTAATGTTTATCTAATTATAATGTTCTAAAATAATATTTGTGCATTCATTTTAACCCATTATATTTTACTCTGGTTTTGTTTCACTGTGCGTAAGTTGAAACGAAAATTGTAATGCATATTCTTTTCTATATTGCGCTCAATAGTGTGTTACATTTACGGGCTGCACCTTAGCTCGAAAATGATTTAAATACGTTTATTTTTACGAAGTGACTTTTATTTTGCCATTGATTTCTTTCCATTTCGTTCCACTGTGCGCGAGCATGCAGTGCAAGTGGTTGGGTCACCGTTTCCATAACGAAATCGAAACAAATTGCTGGCGAATAAAGCAAATCTAAATATTAATGTGCGACTCAATGAGTTGGAAGCGGGTCGCGTCGCGTCGCGTTGCGTCGCAGTCGGGCACTTGGGTTTGGCTTTGGCCATAAGTTTCGGCCAGGGTTTGGGCATTTTTGGGGTAGGCCTCCGCTCGATTGCAGGTAGCGAGAGCATCGCGCCGCGGCTAGCCGATTCCTCTTTCAATATTTACTCTGCTTGGCTCGCGTAAATCTTTGGCAAAACCTCCCGCGGGCAGCTGGTCAGCCCGTGCCGGGGTGTGGTACGGGGGAGTACGGTGCCGGGACTTCAAATAATGGATGGCCGCGACCCAGCCGGGCAGACGTCGCTTGGAATTTCGTTCGACATAAATATTTTTATCACTTGCCTTTGCCGGCGCTTCGAGTTTGTTTGTTTCCGTTTAATTTTTTTGTAGCTTTCTTGTTGGGAAATGAAAGAACGGACACGGATGTGGACACGCTGAGCGAGTGGCTGCCCCGCCCAAAAAAAAAATACCGAAAAAAACAAAACTAATTCAAATTAAAGCCTTTAATCTCGGCGCTGAATCACGGCGACTTGTGCGTTAAATTAATTTGATGTTCCGTTTTAGCAAAAAGTTGGGCAGGGGCCAGAGAGATTTCTATGCTAATCAATATTCCGGAGCTGCAGCTAAATGGAACGTTTGAAAACTTCAGGTACTATGAATATGGGTGGATAATTGTTGGGAAAGTAAGAAATATAAATCCCAACGTCGACAACTTTTTGACAACAATTTTTATTAACAATAACAATTGAATTTCCATAAATGGTTTCTGACCGAGCGAAATGGGAAAAAGAACTTTTAGTCTGAAGGGGAACAAAAAGGATTCTTTCACCAAAAGAAATATTCATGAGATATGAGTCAGAAAAATATAAGAAGAGAAAAGTCAGCAAATCCAGACGAGAAATAAGTTTTAAATCGATATAACAAATAAAAATAAAATAAACTTTAGTAAAAGTCTTCCCAGTTTCCCAGTCGAGAGAGAAAAGGGTACTTTGGATTCGAGTATTTACATCTGGCAACGCTGACTCTTAAAAGCTTCAAGATCTGCTCAAGATTCACAATTTCAATAGCAATAGAAACTTGAGATGCGCGTGCCATAGCAGGAGCTGCATACAAAATGTCAAGTCTTTAGCTTTTATAGTTCCCGAGATCGCACGGACGTACGCACGGACGGATCGCATAAACATTTTGTCACCCGGAATGCAGCCGGTCGCAGTTCGGGCATATTTGTCTCCACAGATTCGTCTATGGCCCACGCACAGCTGCCGGCTTGTGGTTCATTTCCCAAATGCCAATTGCCCAGGAGATTTGGTCTATAAGCCATAAATTAGCACAGTCGCCAGAGCTGACGCTGACGCTGGCGCTGACGCTGACGCTGACCTTCGACTGCAGGCCGTGTTACCGTTATGTTATGGGGTTGACCCGCAACGTCGTGACAGAAGCGACGCCCTAACTTGATGTCGCCCCGCTGCGCATTTGTTTCTTTGATTAATTCTGGACGCTGGCCCACAAAAAGTTAATCGTTAGTAATTTATGGCTCTCTGTGGAGGCGAGACAGCCAAATAGCAATGGACATGGACATGGATATGGACATGGTGGGTAGGGGAGTGGACAGGGGAGGGGAGTGGAGTGGAGTGGGGGCAGATTGTGTCTGTGTGCGTCTGCAAGGTGCGGACAATGCTGAGCCAACAGCAAAGAACACAAATAATTGGTTTGTACAAATGCGGACACACTCGGATGACGCTGATGATGATGATGACGTCGATGATGATGATGGCATAAATGACCCGCTGACTTTGACAACAAATATGCCAGGGGGCGGCGGGGGTAGATCGCGGCACATTGCTGCGACACGATTCGATTGGAATCGATTGGATTGGTTGTGCAGCTGGTCCTGCCACACGCCGCCCGCCGCACGCCGCACGCTGCATGCCACACGTCGAGGCATTCAAATGCGCCATCCAAGTGTTGAATTAAGCACTAAAAATGCAAGGCGAAGAATGCCGATGACGTCGGCGTCGTCCACTGGCACTGGCACTGGCCATGGCCATGGCCATTGGCAACCGAATGCTCCGCTCCCTGGCGCTGGCAGAATGCATTGAATTCGAGTTCAATGCGCTTCAGGAGTAGTGCGAGCCGGACAATGCTCGCAATTGAAAGCGCCACTCGACGGGGCCGAACAACAGGGCGCACAACTGTCCGACCTAGCAAACGACAGTGAATGCCAGCTATGAGGAATTCTGTGGCTTGACGAGGACTACTCAACAAATTGCCGCACTTTTCCCAAATTAAGTTCAACTACAGCACAATAAAAACCCTTTAAAATATATGAAATACTCAGTTCCACCCGCAAGCGTGGAAAAATATCGGAATTCAGCTGTATGCAACTTTTTTGCTTACCAACCGATCCGCCTCAAACTCAGCTTCAAAGTTCTTTGTTCAAATTAAGCTAAGATGTTTTTCACTATTTCATATAATTCACCTCCCCTCGATCATATTTGTAGCTCAAAGTATCGGGCTCGGACTCAATGGCAAGAATCTCTTTCGAAATTCAATTCACAAGTGTTTCACTCTTTTCGAAAATTTCACGCCTGCTCGTGAACAAGGCGTGTAAAAGTTTGTATGACTTGACATTCGTTTGCTTAGCTCTAACTAAAACTTAATTATATTCACAAATTTTCTGAAATTCACAATTTAATTCGGAATAACTTTCTCAAGTGTGGAAAACAGTTTCTGGATTGAGCGCAAAAGTTTTCTTATGTAATTAAATTGAAGAAACTGAGCTAATGTATATGCAAGTTAAGGTGGGATAATACTCTGAAACAAATGTTCATATATGTATATGGATATATATATTTATATGGATAAACCAATTGCAGTGGCATTTTATTGCCAGTCCTCGTCGCATATTGGGGGCAATGGCATTTTTTTTATGGGACATAGGGGATGGCGTTTTCTATGTACTCACTTTTGCATTCGTTGGCATCGTTGTCGGTGGCACGTCCCCAGGGTCGATCGAAGTAGAAGGGTTTGCAGCGCTCGCACTCGGGTCCGGCGGTGTTGTGCTTGCAGGCGCAGGTCATGGCCAGCTTGGCGCTCAGCTGCAGGGCGGAGGTGGTGCGTCCAAAGTGGACGCTGTGCAGCGAGGCGGGCATATCGTCGTCCTGGCCATCGTCCGCGTCGGCATGCACTGAGCCGGGGCCGGGGCTGGTCGCAATGCACTCGGAGGCGTGGCCATTGCACTTGCAGCGTCCGCCGACAGCGAAATCGGAGACGGCGTAATGCTGCGAGACGGAGAGCAGTTGCTGTATGGCGGCGGCCGCGCCGGAGTTGTCCGAGGATGTGCCTGATTTGGTGGGCGGTGTTGTTTTGGGCGTGGCTGACGGAAGCGGCGGTGCGGGCGGGGTGCTGACCGTGAGCTTGGTTTGGAAATGCTTCTCGTAGGCGCTGCTCTTGTGCTTGGACTGGCGCTTGCTCTCGCCATCGTTGGCATAGTCCAGATGCAGTTCGTCATCGAGCTCGAGATGCTTTTTGGGCTCCTCGTACTCCTCCTGGTCGTAGCCGGCGCTGTCGTTGTCCTGCAAATTGTAATCGTACTCGTCCTGCTCGTCCAGCTCATGTCCATCCAGTTCCTCCTCCTCCTGGCTGGCGGTCATCTCATCGCTGAAGCTGTTCGCATTACCCTTGACCTTGGCCCGACTGAGCAGCAGCTGCGGCGGCAGCTCCAGACGATGGAACACCACACGTATATCGGTTGCCGTCACCCAATCCTGCAGCACCAGCGACGCGTCCAGATCATTGGCCGACGGACGACCCTCGAGCGTGTTGAAGGCGAAACGCTGTGCGGCGCCGCCAGTTGCCCCATCGTGCTGCGAGTTCATGCAACGTGCCTCCTGCTCATTAAATTTGCTGATCTTGGCGCGATCGGCACGTCCGTAAAACTTCTGGCACTGCGAACTGTAGAACTGGAAGGGCTGCCAGGTTTGGCCAAAGTCCGAGCTCTTATAGATGGCCAGCGAGTCCGGCCTGGGTGATTTGGGGCAGAACGAAAGCGATATGTAGGTCAGCTCGTACTTCTTGCCCAGCGACAGAGTCAGGGTGACATTGTCCGGCGGCGCTGTATCTGGATCGTGGGGCACATTCACGCTGCCGGAACGCCAGCAGGTCACATTGCTCGGATTGTTGAGATCCGTCAGCGCAGCAGCACCATAACGACCATGCTCCGACTTATCGCAGAGCCGACACTCGCCGGCGCTGCCATCGCGCTGCAGCTCACAGAAGCGCTCCGGATGCTGGGCGCCGCAGACGCTGGAGGCCTGCACCGGATTGCCGTAGGCGGCATTCACAAAGCTGGGCAGGCACTTGCGCGGCTTCCCCTCAAAATAGCACGGATCGTTGGCATTGATGTTGATGCCGGCGGCGGCGTTGGCCAAGCATGCGGCAAGCAGCGCGCCCAGTTGCAACTGCAACAGCGGCAGCCTCATCCTTGAGTTGTTTCCTAGGCCAATTGCGATTTGAATTCCGCAATGTCGCCCCTCTTTTCTCTCTCTCACTCACTCACTCTCTTTTATATATGTGTCTCTGTCACTCGCGAGGATCAATGCGCGTACGAAGCAAGCACAAAACAAAAACAACAAAAACTCGCAACACGCAGCACGCGGCACGCTGGACGCTGAGCGGCGGCGTCACTGAGTCTGGCACGGCGGCCGCATGCAACAGCTGCCGCTCCGATTGCCGATTACAAATTCGGTTTCTGTTTCACTGTCTGCTGTGGATTCTTCTATGCTCTTTCTTTCTCTCACACACACACACACTCTCGCTGGCTGTAACTGCCACTTGTTCTGGCGCCTGCTGTGGGCTAAGAGACCGCGATGCGATTTGCGATGCAACTCGGTCAACGGCCAGCGTTGTTCTGTTTTGTTCACGTCCTCGTCGCGTATCCTGCAGGCGAGGCGACAACAAGCCAAATGATTTGTTGCTGTTGTGTTGAGTTTCTTTGCGCTTCGATTCGCTTCTGCTCTGCGCTTCGCTTCGTTTCGTTTCGTTTTTTGGTCTCGGCCAATTCACCACTGCATGTTGCGGATGCTGCTGCGGCTGCTGGCCGCAAATGTTGCTACAACACACCAACACACCGAAAAAAAAATGCTAACAAAATTTATACGACACACATACGCGCGTGGGCTGTGCGCCAAGCACGAGCACAAACAACGACAACAACAAATACACACACACAAAAACACGCTTTGCTCGTTCGCTGTTCGCTTTGCGTCGGCTTCGTTGTTCACCTGGCAAACGTTTGTCAGTTACTGAACGGCCGCAGCATCTCGGGCCGGTCGCTTGCCGGCTGCTGTTGCTGGCGCTGTCGCTGTCGCCGTCGCTGCCGTTGTCGTCCGTTGCTTGTGGGCCGCAACACACGCTCTCTTTGTCGCCCTCACGCCCGCCCTCTTTCTCTCTCACTCTTTGTCTCTTGCTAAGTTTTGTGCACTGTGTGGCGCTGCTGTTGGCATCGCTTCAATGCGCTGCACAGTGGGCAACAAGTGTGTATATTGAAATGAAAAGCCATGTGACATTTGCATATCGTACCTTTGCTTGAAGAAATATTTGTTTCATCTTTTATTATATATATTACATACTATTCACATTCATATATATTAATTGCATATTTTTCCTACCAAGCAATGGTCATTTACGAGTGTTTTGGAATATGACAGTCTTTAAGTAACTGAGCGAATTGTGCATATATACGTGAAATTAACAAAATACAACAAACATACATATAGTTAATGCAACTCTTTTAAACTCAAACCTTTGAATAAAGTATGTCGTGGTTTTGGGCCTGTCATACCACTGTGCGCATTGTGGATGTAGGTTTTGTGGATGCTGCTGCTTAGCAACATTTGTTGCCCAGGCACATGTTGCTAATGGCATTTGTTGCAAACATTCGATGCGTGTTTATTTTGTTGCTGTTTTTGTTTTTTGGCAACCTGCCCAAACTCTAGCCCAGACAATTTGAATTAGTTGACTATGACTGTGGCACAGGAAATGTGAAATCGTTTGCTGATATATGCATTTGTATGCATGTGTGTGTGTGTGTGTATTGTCAGTCCATTTAAGCGCGCGTCTTCGCCTTAACCTCAATTCGGGCTGCGCTTTCAAAACTTCCGCTGTCATGAATTCAATTCAATTCATTTCATTCAGAATGCAAAACGCCGACAAATATGCCGCGTCAGACGTCGACGCAGACGCAGCGTCGCCGCGACGCCGGGACGCCTGCGCAGCAGCACACTCTTATTGGCAGTTAATGCCGCCAGCGCGCCAAAAGGCATGCTCCACTCGGACACCCCGCCAGCCACCGCCGCACCCCTGACCCATACGCACTATCAGCCTTTTCTTAACTTTTCTTTACTTTTGTTTTCTTTTCTTTTTTGCTCTCTTTGTCGCTGTGGTGTCATCTGCAATTTGTAAGGCCGCATTACGCAGTCCCTAAATGCGGCTCCCTCTCCCTCCCCCACTCTCTCTCTCTCTCTCTCTCTCTCTCTGCCCCCTTCACTTCGCTGCACGCATTTATTTATCGCTTGTTACCTTTTGGGCCTGGGAACGTGCCCAAGCTGCGACGGCCGTCGCTTTGCTTCCGTTTGGCCGCGCGACTGTCCAACGGCTTGCAGCAGCCCCCCTTCGCCCGGCCAGCTCCTTGCTCTGCCCCCTTGCCACTTGTCCCGACTCCTGACCGCCTTTTTCGGTCGCCTTTTGATTTATTGTTTTTGACATTTTGTGCGTCGTCTGCGCTTATTTCTCGGTTTTCAGTTGCTTTTCGAGTGGTTCCCAACAATTCGACTCGTTATGTTTTATTTATAACGGATTTGTAGCCGGAGCTCGCTTTGTTTATAAATATTTATGTGTGTGAGCTGCGGCTCATGTGTGCGCCCAGGGGGGTTGGGTTGCGTTTGGTTGGGTGTTGTATAGGCCTTGTATGGCAAAGCGGTTAGCGGTAAACTTTTCGGTCTCTGGGCTCCTGTCAGACCCCATCAGCGTCCAAGCTGGCCAGCTATGAAGCGTATTTGACCCGTGGCTGTGACTTTTGAGCCGGGTTCGCAATGGAATTTTAATTTCATTTATTTACGTGCGCCTAGTTGCGCCCCAAATTGGATCCGATTCCAGCTCCATGCCGGGCGCAGCTTTAACTTTCAGTTTCACCTGCGAGCCAGGCGACTTTATCAGCTGTTTGATTCACCAACAGCCAAAGCTAAATAAATGCTTGCAACTTGCAACGGGAGCAGCTGCAACGTCTAATTATGACGCCAGCCAGCTACGCGTAGCGCACCGCGCTGATGGTGCCGCTAGATGCTGTGCCAGTTGCACTTGCAACGCCAGCTGCGGGCGCCTAACACTGGGCGTGGCAGGCGCACAGCCACTGCCAAGCAAAGTGCCCGCACTTGACGGACGATAATGCTTGCGTTGCTCGCAGTGAGAGCCAAGGCGGCAACTGCAACTGCAGCTGCAGCTGCAGCCGACTTAAGTGAAATTCTCTTTTGGGGGGCGTGGCTGTTTGGCCGTTTGCCAAATCAAAGAGTGCAGCTAACTGTACATTTTGTGGTCAAACTTATTTCACGACGACCTCTCTCTGCGATTCTCAAGCGGCAAAACGAAAACCAATTGTGCCTGCGCTGAGTTGGCCGAATGTGAAAGAAATTTTGAGTTGAAAACATCATCAGAATATCGGTTGAGTTTTGATAAAGCTCCAGAAGTAATGATATAAGGTATAAATTCTTTTTTTCATACGTACTCTGTGCCCACAGAGAAAAGTATCATATAGGCTATGGGCAATGTCCTTTTGAATGCATTTCTTTGACAATCTTAAGAAAAGACTCTTAAAACTTGGCATATAACTCGTCATATACAGGTCTCGCTCCCCTCTCTCACATAGCTGAGATCCCTGATAGACACAATACCTTTCTTATAAGATATATATATCCTAGAATTATATATTTTCTTAAAATATAGCCATGATTTTTGAAGGGAGTCAAGGGAATAAGAAGGCGCTCAGTTTGCGATTTGAGTGTTGGTAAACGCGCAAGTATGTTGCGGCAGTTCGATATCACACTCACTTGATCCCTTTCTCATGATGCACTTCAAGGCACATATTTCTTTGAGTGTAGGCAAATATGCCCAAGTCGTAATGCGTGATTAGTCATGGGGTTTGGCTGTTTGTCTACTGCTGCTGCCACTGCAACTGGTATCGGTCCCTGTGATGCTGCTGTCTGTGTGATCCCTTGCATCCACTTGCGGCAACAACAACAACTCCGCGGGGTGCATGCAACAATAAAATCAAACGAATATCGACAGGCGGCCAAACTGAAGCCGCAGTTCGCAGTTCCAGCAGTTCCTGCAGTCGCCGTGTGAGTCTGCCGAAAGTCAAAGTCAATGTCAGTTTGCTTATTGCCGCCTCGACTTCTGTTTACAGTCGCTGCCGTTGCCGTTGCAGTTGCACTTGCAGTTGCCGTCGCAGTCGCTGCGGCAATTAAGTCAAACAACTGCAGCAGGAAGTTGTCGCCCCATTGCCTACGCCTGCGCCCCCTCCCGCTCCCGCTCCCGCCACCGCTCCCGCTGCTGATCCTGCTCCTCATCGTCGCTTGTCAAGTCAATTGGTTTGCCACCACAACAATATTAATGCAGCCTACTGTTGCCACACCGCTGCCCCTGGCCACGCACTCGCCCGCAACCTTATGCACACCCTGCCCCATCTCTGGCTGCCTTCACGCTGCGTTGCCCGCTTGGTCTTAAGTAAATATTTGGCCTACGTGCCCATTACGTGATTTTCCGATAGTCTCTAGTCGAGCTGATGTTGATGTGCCTGCTGCACTTGAGATGCAGCGTCAATGATGAGCATGATGATGCTTCTGCTGCCGCTTCTGCCTCTGCTGCTGTTGATGCTGCCGATGCTGCCTCACCCACTTGACATGACCAACGAGCACGGAGAAAGACAGAGGAGTAAGGAGTCGGGGTAAATGTGTGGACTTAAGAACTGCTTCTAAATGCCTCAATGCACCTACGAACAGACTTTCTCACTCTCTCCCTCTCTCCCCCCCCCCCTCTCCCTCCCTCTCTCTCTCTTACTCTCAGCAAGATTCACCCGGAAGTTAAACCTGCCGTAAATTAATATTGTCTTTTCCAATTCATAAAATACCAGAAATTCTTTTTGTTCTACAAATTTGTACTATCCATTTTCTAGTGGTAAAAAAAAAAGATGATGCACAGCTTCGAATCCGGAATTACAATTCCAATTCAACTTAACAATAAAGCAAAGCTTAAGCCAAATCATAAACAAACTTATTTCAAAAGTCAAGAATGATTTAGTTCAAAATAGAAATTCTTTTGCAAAATAATAAATTACTTTGGCCCTAACCGTCGCATTTATCCAACCATATTTAACAGATGCCAAATTTTGCTTTGAGCTCAAATATATCCAGCGACTTGCATATGCAAATACTTATGACCTGCAATATTTTCCGTACAATGGGCAAATATATTTTAAAAAATTTGATTGTTTTTATTACAAAATTTTGAGTATGTGAAAGACATTTTCTCTTCTGATATAACTTATCTCTATATATAAAACTGTTTGTCCTAACTGACGGACTGACTGACTGACTGACTGACTGACTGAGTGACTGACTGACTGACTGACTGACTGACTGACTGACTGACTGACTGATTGGTGATCAACGCACAGCCCAAACCGTAAGAGCTAGGAAGCTGAAATTTTCACTGTAGTTACCTTATGTGATGTAGGTGCACGTTAAGACGGGCTTTCGGGAAACTCCACCCGCAAGTGTGGAAAAATCGCGAAAAACTTTTGTATGTATCTTTTTTGTTTACCATCCGATCGGCCTCAAACTTATTTTCAAAGATCTTTGTACAAATTCATTTGAGGAGTGTTTCACACTTTTCGAAAAATCGGTTCCTTCTTGGTGGAAATGTAGGTCAAGGATTTCGTGGGTGACGTTTCGCACTCCAATTCGTTTCCAAAGATCTATAAGAAAAATCATTTGAGACGTGTTTCACACTTTTCGCAGAATACAAACTTTTTCGGGTGGAATGCGACTCAAAGATTTTTTGTGCGAACTTTTAAGTTGTGCCCGATTTGCTTCAAACTTATTTTCAAAGCTCTCAATAAGATCTTAATGAATACGTATTTCAGCGATTTGGGAAATTCCACCCGCAACAGTGGTAAATTGGCGGAAAACGGTTGTATGAAAGTGTTTTGTTTACCATCCGATCAGCC